AGTAAATCTGTCATTTTGTTGAATTAGATATATAAGAGACGAGACAAATTTTTAAATTAGTATTACTTTTATTTATTTAAAGTTTGCTATTTAATTTACTTTCTTTAAGACACTAATTTATTTGTTCTAGATACAATACTAATTTATGTCTCATTTACTTATACACCAATTTATATTGATAACATTAATCTCAACAAAACTATCTCTTAACTATAACTTAACTTTAAACAGCAAACAGCCTATTTACAAAAATATTATGCTCCAGACTTGTTCTCGAATATTCTAGACGTTTTTCCACTACGAATCGGCTAGAATCAGAACAAATGTCGGTGAATCCGTCATCTACCCAGACAGCACACCAAATCCCAGAGATATCCACAGAATATCTTTTGTGGATATCCAATATATCCACAGGATATTAGAAATATTCCGTGGATCTAATATGGATATCCAAATGTCCGTCTATATCCAGAATATAGAAAATATCCTAATGGATATTCAGCAAAATATCTAATGGGTATCTTCCAGAAAATACAAGAAATCCCAGAGATATCCACAGAATATATTTTGTGTATATTCAATATATCCAATATGTATATCCAACAAATGTCCGTCTATATCCCAGGATATAGAAGATATTCGGATATTCAGCAAAATATTTTATGGGTATCTTTAGTAGAGGTTTATAAGTAACCAATGATTATTGAATAACGTCGAAAGAAAATAGCAGAGACACAGGCAGAGATAAAAAATATTTTCAACACTCTGCCTTTGATTTTGCCCACTAAGGAGAGATAAGTCATCCTTATTAGGACTCTTCAGCAATAAATGAAAATTCTCGACTCCAGTCTCTAATGGAGTGATTAGGACAACAATTTCGATCGAACTCAATTACGGCGGGTCGAGCATGAGTAGATGTGATAGTGGTATCGCCATCTATACTTAGTAAGCAGAATCAAATAACATCTAGTGGATATCCACGATGGTTTGCGTTCGCGCCTAGACTTTGATATATTTAGTGGATGTTCATGGGATATTGAATAAACCTTAAAAAAATTAATTTTAAATATCTGAACGGTACTATTAGCCACAATGGCGAGCACAATGGCGTAATTTTTTAATAATTTGCTATATAATTACTATTATTTATGGACATTTGCATGTCTATAAATTACATTTCATGGATATAAAATAGATATCTACCATGGACTGGACATTCAGTGGATATTGGGATGTTCAGTAGATATCCAAAGGATTTGGTGTGCTGTCTGGGTAGTAGACTGGCGCATTCACCAACAATCGTCTCTAGGTGTTTTGTCATCATTCTAGTACAATCTATGTCGGACGATTAACTTTAACCGATAACGACCATAGACGTAGGTAGGAGGTAGGTTAAGAAGGTTGAGTTATTCCATCAAATATTCTTGATAACTTGAAAATGGAGGCCGTAAATGGCTCAAATAGGTCAGAGAAGCTAAAACATTTTTTAAAAATTGAGATATGATTTTTAATCAGCTGTTTCTTATGTTGTACTGTCTAACTTTGACAAACTACCCCTAAAGATCCATCCTCCTACTCTATCTACTTTAATTATATTATTAAAAAAACTAAAATCATTTTAATAAAATAATAGAAGTTCATAAACAAACTGACTGAACTCAACTTTGCTTGGACAGTCCGACACAATACATACGTCATCACTAATGCGTTGTGTATTGCCATTAAATTCATTAAAACATTATGTTGCAAGCATGAATATAGAATTGGACGGTGTTATGAAACAAAAATCCAATTTAATTTTGTAACCTTTAAAAATTATACCAGATTTGTATGTTTCGATATTTTTCACTGAATTGTTACTGAAATCTGGATATTTTTTCAGCCGTGGATTTATAAGAAAGTGACACAAATATCCGTTAGCTTATTCTAGTTATATAGAAAGTGAAAAAATCTTTAAATCAAAACATAGTAAAAACGAATAATTCTGATATCAAACTGACCTATATTTTTTGAACGTTCGAGAAAACAAACTCTGGATATTAGAATATAAAAAAATTGGAGTTAGATTTGCTAGACTATATATCCTTGTTACGGAAATATATCTTCATATAATATCAGAAAGCTCCTCACTTTGTAACACTTCGATATTTTTTTATCTTCGTAATAAACAAAACAAAACTACCAAAGTGACAAATTGTTGTTGTAAGGTGAGGCATTTTACGTATTCTGTTTCGCTTCTGTTTTTTCGGTGCATCTAGTAATGTATATAAGACTGAAAAAAAAAACTGTAATAACCCGTATCCATTTTTAAGTTTATATGTATCTATCAAAAAAAAGCTGATTTTTTTTAAATTGCATTTAGGGAAATTTTTGCGCGAAAGGGCAGAAATATTTTTAATTCTACGGAAAAATTGTTTGTGCAACAAGTGGGAAAAGAGTATTTCGCGAATGTTGGGCAAATTATTTTTTCTACGACTAATTATTTGTTGAACGAACATTTGCCATTCGTAAAAATATATTAATACATTTTTTCACAAAATAATTTTTATTTTATTTTAAAATTTTTGACTGACATTAAATCGTGTTCAAAAAAAAATTAAAACTAAAAGTCTTCACGCCCAAATCTCGAATCGCAAAAGCTAATCTGAGCATATATTTTTGCAAAATAATTTTTAAACAGCTAGTAACAATGTCTTATTTGATAATCACTACTATTTTAGTCAGCAGAAGTTTGTACTTTTTTTTAATAACATTACTTTTTTATTACAAATATTTATATAGTCATTGAAATTAAATTTCCAATACACGTCATAAACTCATGAAAGTAGACGTTGCCACGTTGCTACAAAAATCTAGTGAATATGAGCAAAATGTTACTTAACCATGTGTGCACTAAACCAGAGATAAGGGAGATAAAGATAGGAAACGCTTATAAGAAGCCAATGCTTAACAACGACCAGTTTTAACGCAGTTAACATCTGATAACTCATTATGTGGCGCTTTCATCGATATCAAACAACGCAGAGGGAAATTTAAAAACTTGATAATAAAGGTTGTATAATAAATTATTTATTAAAAAGAATATTACACTTACAGTCTATTATCGATTAATTATTGTAAATATATTCATGACAAATATTTTTTTTGATCTTTATTTGTAACATTACATTTTTGTTTTTATTTTCCAGACGAATGGCTAATGGTGTCTTATTTAAAAATTTTGAGTGCAAACTCAATAATGGGAATTCTGATATTTTTCTTCCTATATCAAATCTTTCTAAAGGTGCGTCCTCACCGAATTAACATTGCCGATCGACATTGTTGATCAACAAGTCTATAAAACTGCATCTGTCCACACCAGAGTTGATAGAAATGTTTGTCGATCAGTCGAAATTAACATGTCTGATGAAGATGACATTATAGTTGCTTGTGCCGCATTTACTATTATCGCAACTAAAAAAAGAAAACTTGCTCGCAAAAGAAGATTTTGGGTTCGACCAAGTCTTCAAAGTAGAACTAGATACAACGCTAGTAATTTGATAGAAGATTTAAAAAAAGATGACTTCAACATATTGAGCCTTGAATACAGGTGTAAAGGTGGTGTAAAGTCTACGTACCACTGAATCTAACATCTCCCTGGGCTTATTTTTATCAAGTAAGAATCTCAAACTTTCAACGGCAAACCATTTACTTTTAAATACTTCCTCCGTACCAGTGCCAGATTTGTTGCTGTCCTTTATTTTTTTTACTTCTCTAGCAAATTGACTTTGAAGATTTCTAATTTTTTGTTCTTCCGCTTGCTTCTCGACGTTAAATTCATTAGCAATTTCTATAAGTTTCTGCTTTCATAGTTTTTGTTTTTAGAATCCTATAGATTTGTTCTCAGTTTGTATGCCTCAATAAAGGCTATAACTTTATCTTGTTCCCATTCCATTTCTCCAATGAAAATACAACTACAATGTCAACAAGGCAAGACATTACTGAGTACTCACTACTCAGTACTAACAGTTTGTCGAATGTCGAAAACACGTCCACACACTAAAGTCGATCGACTTCTCTTTCATGTTTACCGACAGGCGATGGTAAACAAATCGACATGTCGATCGATTTATTTTGTCGATCGACACCGTCGATTGCCGCGTACACACAAAGTCGACAACGTCGATTGACAGTGTTGATTCGGTGAGGACGCACCTTTACATGACTAGATCTCACTATGGTTAATTAAAGAACGCCACATTGGGGTTGTTAAATTTATTCATGTGGCTTGTGTTACTAATGCAATATGTTCTCCGACTTATTGTAATATTACAAAATTTAATTATTGTCCTCAAATTTTACACAAAAACAGCCACAACCACTTCGCTTAGTTCATCTAGAGGATAACACAATCATTAACTCAAAATTTAAAATTTAAATTCAGGATTCTTCGATATACATAAAACTAACTGACATTTATTTTTACAAACTGTCTACTGCTGTCTACTGCTGTCTACGTCTACTATCTGTCTCAGTGTTGCCAACCGTACGATTTAAATCATATTTTTACGATTTTTTAAATCTCTGTACGATCTACGATTACATCAGCGAGATCGTACGTAAAAATACGACCTTCCCTTTTTTAGTCCATTTATTTAAATATCTGCAACAACTTCAGAACATAAAAAAAATAAAAATTAAAAACTACAGGGTGGCGCAAAATGAACGTTAAGATTTAAACGCTTTGTAACTTTTTTATTTTTAAATAAATTTTCAACATTGTTCTATGAAAATGTAGCCTATAAATGGGAAATGATTTTAGCCTAAGCGTGAAAAACTACGTCTCGCAAATGTCGCCCATTTTCTGCTACACAAAGTCGTGCTGTTTCCAACATGTTCCGTGACTTTTCGCAAGATCTTAGGTGTTATGGCACGGATTTCATTGCGAATGTTATCCTTTAGTTAAAGGATGGTTTGTGGCTTATTAATGAGGCCTTTTTCTTTCAAATAGCCCCAAAGAAAAAAGTCTAGAGCGGTCAAATCCGGCGAGCGCGTTGGCCAATTAAAGTCGCTTCGGCGCGAAATAATGTTATCACTGAAGAACTCCTGTAACAAAACCAATTAGTCCCTTGCGGTATGAGCCGTGGCACCGTCTTGCTGAAACCATATTTGAGGACGGTTTGTTACCGCTGCGCTCTGGCATTGATGGTAACTGTAACTGCAGCACCGACTTCATTCTCGAAGAAATATGTCCCTTTCGGACGATACACCGCACCAAACAGTACATTTAAGTGGGTGCAGCTCTCGCTGATAAACCACCCTTGGATTCTCAGTAGCCCAAATCCTAATGTTTTGCTTATTGACAAATCCATTTAAATGAAAATGGGCTTCATCGCTCATTATGATATTGTCAATAAAATCGCGATTTTCTCTAGCTTTTCGCTGTAACGCAATAGCATAATCAAGCCGCTGTTGGTAGTCTGTCGGCTTTATTTCTTGCACCAGCTGGATTTTATAGGGAAACATGTGCAATGTGGCCAAAATTCTTTGAAGAGACCTCCTTGATAACCCAAGTTGTGCCGAACGTCTTCTCGTCGATGTTTCAGCACTCTCTTCCACGCTCTCCCGTACACGTTCAATATTTTCGCTGGTGCGCGCTGTATGTGGTCTTCCGGTACCAAGACGGTTCCTTACTGAACACTGAACCTTGTTGCTGAAAATTAGCAACCAAGCGAATGATTAAAATGTCGGCGATACGCACGCTGCGTCAGAAAAATTAAATTCGATGATTTTTGTCCTTTGTTCTATAGTGTATTGTTCCATTTTAAATTCCCCAAGCCTTCTTTACAAATTTCTGAAACAAAAGAGAAAATAAATTTATAAATAAAAAAGTTGTAAAGCCTTCAAATCATAACGTTCATTTTGTGCCACTCTGTACTTGCAAAGATTCATAGGCCGTTCGTAATTTCTGAATGCAGTCGTTTTCGTTCTCACATATCGTGATTTGGACCATGGTGATTTTGTACCAACACCACCTCTAACAAAAGCCTGCAAAATTTCAATCACTTTCAAGTGACATTGATTACTTTAAATGTGTTAATTTAAAGTTTTATGTATTTTCTTTATTTTTTTCGTTGTAAACATTTGTATAAATAGATAAATAAATTATCATGCCAGTTTTTTTTTATTTTTTCGTTCCATTTAAGTTATACATGTAACTATTGTACGATTTTTTTTGTCGAAATACCATTTTTCTACTCTATTAACCATCTATCAAAAAAATATTTGGCAACACTGGTCTGTCTACAAACGACGTGTATCTTTAGTTAACATTAGACGCATAGATGACGCCATCGTTGCTGCGGTCGTTGCGTTTCCTATCTTTATGTCCCTAATCTCTGCACTAAACCATCGATAAGTAAAATCTGAACACACAAAATTATACTGGTATTAAGTTTTTTAATTTGACAGTATTTATTTACATAAATCATCATATTTATCATGTGTAGGTATTTTGAAGTATATTTAAGGAGCCGTTAAAAATGATTTTTCACATTATATGAGAAATTAATAACTTTGGATAGCAATCCAAAAATTATCATCCTTTTGAATTTACTTTTAGTCCTTAATTTTAGGGTGGAAAGCGTCACGTTTCCTCTCTAAGGGATTTTTTTTTTCATAATCTTTGATTAAAATTTATTAAAAATTAAAGTAGATATTTCAGTATGACTTTTTTTATTTATTTTTGTTTTTAGGTTAGTAACAACTTGCATAAGAAATATCGAAAAAACTATAGTTGTATAAGTAGTTCTTGCAAATTTAAACTATTTCTTTGTTTTAAAGACTAACTTTTTTATTAGGTATTTAACGTATAAATATAAGATCTACTAAGCATTTTTAATTGGAATATATCCACTATAATTTGGTATTTTAAAACACTATTATGTCAATACCTTCTGTTGAACTGAAAGCAAAATTTTATATACACTCGTTGTTATCGCTTAGACAAATACAACACGCTGGAAGAAAATAAAACAAGAAAAAAGACAATAGTTTTAATGATATGGTACCTAATCATGTATTCTACATTTGGCCCGTTTGGTTATTATTAAGAATTAAAAATATTCCTGCCAATACCTCGCAACCTAGTGGCTTATTATGATTTGTTAAACATTGATTTTTCGTATTATTCATATAGAGTGTATAACAAATCAGCAATATGTCAATTATTTGGTGCTTAGCGCCTGTACACTAATGACATTTTTCATGATAGCGTAAGTTGTTATTAAGTTTTTTATTGTTGCTCAAATATTTATTTAATTCAGAAATTCGAATTCGATGATTTTCTGTCGACTTATCTTTTTTGGGGATTTTAAAGGAAAAAGTTTCAACTTAAAATGTTAAACTTGATTAACTTAACGAAACATATTCAACCTTAAGATTGTAAAATATATATTTAGCACGCATTCTTTAAATTCTGGTTATTTTAATAGCTCATAAGTCAAGAATCAAAAAAGATATTGTGGTAGACGGACTTTATTGATTTTTTAATTTTATAAATACCACCCCTAGTAAAAATAAGTTTTTAAAATATTAACATTAATCGGAACAATTATCACTACAATTTTTTTTTTATTAAATTTTACTTATAATACAAAAAGACAAACTGGATATTTTTTAAATTTTGAAGCTCAGATTCAAAAATCAAAATATACCCCTTAGTATGCTACAGTTTTTTAAAGCGGTAAATTAAAATGATAGAAACGTATATATTTTATTAAAAAAAAAAAAAATTGGATTTGCCGTTTGTAAAAAATACAGGGATGCCATTTAAAGTAAGTTCATGATTTTTGTTTTTTGGAATACTTTAGAACAAATTTTAAGAATTGGCAACCGCACCAGCAACAACGAACCCCGCATATATTTTTTCTGCTGTTAAAATGTTATATATCCCTATATTTTTGTTCTTTAAATTAACGTGAAGCTTTTTCCTAAATCCAGTTTTTTTAAATACATATTTATACACATATTTTGTTTTTTATACGACGTACTAGAAGCTGACATACCAAACGCGTGAACTTTTTTTGACATTCCTGCAAATTATTTTTGTGAAGTTTTACAATGTTGTGAAACATGTTTTTTCGCATTAGACTGACAAAAAGAGTTCAACATCGCGATTTAATTTTGTTCATGTAATGATTAACAATACAAAACTTTTTCAATAATGTTAGAGTTCACTTTTCCAAAAAAAAAATTTGTATAAAGTTGTAGATAGATTTTTAACGTTATAATATATAATAACAATAACTAGTCGCGTTATAAATTATATGACTATTTAAATTTGGCACTCAAAAATTTCATAGATTTTGTGGTAGAAAGTTTTTTATATTGTGAAAGTGAAAAATCGACTTTAAGATTAAAACTGTAATCATTTTGGCTGGTCACATTTTGATTTCATCTTTTATACATTTTTTAAAAATATAAATTTTATAAATTGTCCCTTACCCAATGTAAAACCCTGTGTATATAACGATCTGCATTATGAACATTAATAATTAGCCATTTCCAAACCTTAAGGCGTCGTTTATATGTTAGTAAGAATATTTTAACTACTGTCAAAATGAGGTTTCAAAAAAATTAAAAGAAAGTCCAATTTGTTTTGTTTTAAAATAAAAAAAAAATTATACCAGTAAAGAGCACTTTTATGTAAACTATTTTCTATTTACCCAGATTCTCAACTGAAATATTCACTCTATTACATTTTAAGAGTTAATATCTTAGTCTTCCTTGGTGTTTTGAACAGTGTAAAATTAATACAATGTTTTACAAAATCTAAAAATGCATCAAAATGTGATCAATATGTCAAAATAGTCTCGAAATCATTATTTTATGAGACAAAAAACATTTTTTACATATAATATATCCAAATATAAGTTTTAACAAACTAGTGATTTGTATGAAAAATGCAGTAAAATATAATAGTTACTATAGATTACCTACAAATATCTTGCTTCTTCCTATTTCTGGGATTTAATGCCCGAGAAACGATTTATTAAACAAAAAAAATAAGCAGTATAAATCTGCATTTTAGCGTATAAGGCAGACGCCAATTTTTTTAAATATATTACAACCTAATTATATGTTTAAAAAAAAAAAGAAAACTAGATAAACTTAGTCTTTAGTTAGTTCGTAAGTATTTGCAGAAAAACTTGTAATAATGCAGATATCGTACTGATTCCAGTTGAAATGCAACTGGATGTTCGCCTAAGAAGCCTTTAGATTATAAATAAAAATATAAAAATTTATATATTATATTTATTAGGTGGGTAGAAAACCATGTTTTGGTATATAATGTCGCATTTTTGATCGAAACTCAAAACCAAAGAATTTTTGTTTACAAAGTTATCTTATATTATGAGATTACTTAATAACAGAGATTCAAAATCCTTTATTTATACTGTTAATTATTCTTGAACGAGACTGAACAGTCAAATATTTGTTCTATAATTAAAAAAAAAAAAATAACAATAAAAAATGTATGCGTTCATATGCGGTACATCATCAACATGTCAAAAATTGAAGATGTCAAATTTATTGGATGGAGTTCTTCAAGTAACCTTCAGCAGCGATTGCAAATTTTAAAATCAGTTGAAAAATAAATTCTTGCAATAAATAAATAAATAAATAAACAATAAAAGCATATTATTTGTTTATTTTGTGTATAGTTTAATCACTTACAATGTAACTTTTTCATCTAGTGTTTTTTTCTCTTCTCGCCAAATTTAAGAATAGGTATTTTATTTGCATAATAATTCTGTTTTTATCCAAGATTTTTCAGAAAAACTACTTATTTCTTGACCGATCGGGGTTATAGATTTTAGATGTTTACAATTTCATCTCAATAAAACATCTTCATTATCAATTCTTCTTATTAATAATTGTGTATATTTATCTTTTAATACCGGTTTGATTTTGCTAGTAAAAATTCATATTTGACATCCATTTCAGTGATATCTATTATATTATCATTATCACTTTCACCAGTAATCATACTGGATTTTGGAGTAATTAATTTTTTAAATAAATTTATTTGCTATAAATCAACCTACGTAAAGTGCAATGAAAAGAACAGTTGATATTATTGACAACCTGTCACTTGTCAATCAAACAGGTTCATTATATGTACACGTCCTAAACTAATAGTTTGTCAGAAAATTTGCACTATCTGGCACGTACCTATAATATATGAAGTACCAAGTATCCATTGGCCTGTGCACAGGTATTTCTTTACCACAAAACTGAACATTATAATTCACTAATCTGTAAATACCCAATTGGAACCCAAAATACTAGTTTATTTTTTGAAGACGCAGATATGCGTCCTATACAGAAATCTCAATATATGGTGGTGATAGAACTGGTTTATTGTATACAGAGTGTCTTGAAACAAATATGGCTAATTTTAGGTTCAATTTACTCTATTTTTTCAAACGCAACACCCTGTATATTATTTTAGCATAAAATCTCTTATAAAATTACCTATCCAACGATACTAACATGTTTACCATTAACACATATACAGGGTGATCCATCAGTGCGTAATTGATCGATAGCTGTATTGCAAATACGAAAATTTGTACGACCATGTTTAATAAATATTCTGAAATATACAGGGTGGTCCATAAACGAGGGGCAGACCAAACATTTTTAAAGCATATTTTATTGTTTTCACGTCGTCAAT